TATGGAACAAGCAAAGCTTAATACTAAACAATATATATATTAGCTGTATAATACCAGTAGGCCAGCTCTAATAGTAATTTGGTATGGCTTCGCGGGCCAAATGTAATTAGGCTGCGGGCCAAATTTGGCCAGAGTTTGACACCTATGCTTTAGACTCTTCACGCTTGTTGTACATCTGAGCGTCTCTCTTCTTTCTGGCAAGTTTGAAACCTGAATCGCTGAATAAGCCGGGAAAGTGTTCTCATCAAGTGATCGCAAGTGTGTGCCTGCCCAAGGGGATGAAAACAGAAACCTGATGGAGGTTCTTCTGCATATATCCATCCCCTGGTTTTTATTTTCATGAGTTATTACAGTTTTGTTTTTATCAGTGCTTTCATTATTATTATTATTATCATTAGTATTATCATTAGTATTATCATCAGCTGCTTAAGCTACAAAAAAGGCCAAACAAGTTCAGATACCTAGATTAAGATTTTCTTATGACGAGCTGACAGATGGGAGTATTGCAGTGATTTTATGTGTTTTCTGTTGGTCAGACGGTGAAAGGAGGCATATCGGAGACAAGAATCGAGAAAAGGATCGTTATCACCGGAGACGCAGACATCGACCATGACGAGGTCTTTTAATCCTTTCATACTGTTCCTCTGCTTACCCATACTCATTATTTTTCTGTTTCTGCAAAGCTGATTATTTGATTGTGTGGTAAATTAAAAAGGTCAAGTGCTGAGCGGTGACTTAGTAACGGTCAGGATATTTAGGACAGGAATGGGCTAACGTGACATTTTAAACAAATTAACTCATCATATGGCTTAACAAGTTCTGGACGTATAAGAAATGTGACTAAAAATGACTTCCCTGTTGGCATACTGACTTACAATCCAACATCCCCGCTCCCTCCCTGCCTTTCTCCGTTCTCTGTCTCCCCCTGGTGATCCCTTTTGGCACTGCACTCCCGTATGTAGGCTCTGGCTCAGGCCATAAAGGAGGCTAAAGAACAGCACCCTGACATGTCAGTGACCAAAGTAGTGGTACATAAAGAGACAGAGATCACGCCAGAGGAGGGGGAGGACTGAACCAGGTAAGACAGCAAGGCCCCAAGTCCCGATCCCGGCGCTGTCCTGTTTAGTCTGGTTTTAATTTGGTTGAACTGGGCTTTGTTTTTCTTGTTTTTTCTTTCAAGCTGGTTTCCTCTCTTAGGCATGCTGCTTTTTCATCAGCACTTCTTCTCACTGGTGCAGATAGCCCTGTTTCTGTGGTACTTACAACTAATGCATCATGCTGCTGTCATTTCATTCCCCTCTGCAGGGAAAAGGACTGCAGATGCATCTGTGCACACAGGCCGGATATTACAATCTCAATTCATAATGACAAGGCTTAAAAACATTTACAGTAATGCTGCCGGCAGTCTCATGCAATCTAGTGCAATATGGCTACAACGCTTCCCTCTGCTGGAGAGAAACACAATGAACTTTTATTTAAGAGCTACAGCCATGTACTGTGTGTTTAAAGAAGTCTTTACTAAGATATTTTGTAAGTTTAAATTGCTGTGCTAATATTACAGTTTTCTAAATAAGAAGTGTATTCTTCTCTAAATGTTTATTAGACACACATGTGGAAAAATGTTTGAAATTATGCCTGCATGTTGTGAAACA